GATTGTGCTCGCCATCATCACTAAAATGACACTCACGCAGGTCAGTAGTGTAAAAATTAGTTGATATCGCAGCGTAGTTTCTGATTCATCACTAAAATAACACTCAAGGTACTCATTGACTCCGGCAATCCACGCTAAGAGCGAAACAACACTTTTGGGTAGGAAAAACTTGCTGAAACGGGATTCGTTAGCCATTTCTAAACCTATGTTTCTATACCTATAGCTATGGTTATATTTCTATACCTATTTAATGTTTTACTTATTAAGCGCATTAAATAATCGTAAATATTTTGCCTAACCTCAAGGTATCAACTTGGTTCGCCAACGCGCGTCGACGCCTCAAGAAGGAGAACAAGATGACGTGGGAGCCTCGCAACAAAACAGACGACGACGACGCAAAACTTTCTGATGATGAAGACGATGAGAAGGAGGTCGTTGATAAGGATGATGATGATATCAAGAAGGACGATAAAGACGGGGATTCACAAAGTGAGTAATGATTATAAATACTCAGATTTGCCCATGTTGAACCAGGTTCAATTGAAAATTACTATAGTAATGGGGAATGTGCCGTAAAATTGGCTGAAAAATTATCCACTGAGTCATTTTCATCCAAGATCTTGGATAAGAATGTAAGCAAAAATGGAGCAATTATTTTATAGAACAAGTATTCTTTTAAAATGTTTTCTATCTCTTATTTTGTCTTCAATTTTGTTTTGGAATTTTGATTTGTCTGCCATAGTTTGTAAAATTGAGGTTTGACTGCAATCACTGATAGTTTCATTGCTCGATGTTTACGAGCTACATATATACGCTGCCTTAACTAATACCGTCTGTGCCATGCAAAGGATGTTTTAGCAGCAATAACGTGCATAGTCGGACATTACTTCCTGGCCCGTAAATTATGTAATCATACCATGTCTGTGTGAAAAAAAAAGAACGAAAATGTAACCGCGTTGAAATGATGAACAAATTTCCATAAATGATCACAAATTCAATCAAATCTGGTGTGGCATCGCCGAGCCACACAGAGCAATTGGTTCTTCAAAGCCGCCTCAGTGGGGCTCATAAATTTTGAAGGTTCAGAGCAAATTGCTCACCATGGGACAGCCTAACGCGGCGCTGTCAGTTTAGCTCGCTGCTTCACACTAAGACCAGTAGCAGCGGCCTCGCCACAAAAAATCACCAGCCCTCAATGCCGCTCACAAATAAAAAAAAATCTCGCGAGGTGTATACACGCGCCATAAGTTTGCTTGCATCCTAAGGGTTTTCAAACGTAAGTGAATTCAAGGAAATCTTTGGAAAATTCTTTATTCGTAAAGGATAATCCAAGATGGGTTACTAAAGTTCGAGATCAAGGATACTAAAAACATTCCGAGTTCTAGGAGTGGTTAGACACAAGAAATTTTTGATTTATAACGAATTTTTGTAAATTCAGAGAGACGAAAAAATGTATTCGCCTTGCACCTCTAAATATTGTTCATTCATGCAGGAAATAATAAGTTCATCAGGCGATAATGAATTCCTTAAGATGAGGAACGAGGAAAGATTTCTTTTTGAATAATTTCAAGAGCCTGAATAAGTTTTGACGGTAAATTGCTGTATGCGCCGAATTTATTTCATATATCAATTAATTTCTTCAAGAGACAGCATTTCATATTTTCAACTATAACACAAATTAAAGATCATTAAAGGACTAAAATTACTTACTAAAAAAATATTAATTGTTGGTTTTTGGAACGAATTCCTTTTAGACTGCGAACAGAGGTTAAGAACTGGCAAATTGTTGAGAAATTGCATGCCAGCCTTCACCTCGAAAATCAAATAAGGAAGAGGAAGATAAGGAAAATAAGCCCGGATAGGAAAAAATAGCGTGTTTTGCTAAAATATCGGGTGAAGAAATAGATGACTACGGAGTATGAGGGAGGAAAGAAGCCGAAGATGAGAACTAAGATAAAGTGGACGCTGGTGAAGGATCCGCGTATGGAGCAGGAGGAGGAGGTGGGGAGGGGGGCAGTAATGTGGGGCAGTGGGAGCCTACCTCATAATTTGGGTAATGTGACTGAGAATTGCAGGTGCTGTTTTATGTTGAGTAGAAGCTTTTTACGATGGCCTGACCCTCACCCACCCCCGCGCAGCCTACACGTCCCTCCCCTCCTCGTCATGATCCTACACGCTGTCTTCTTTCCGGTCATGAAGCTCATTCAACAGCTGAATTCTGATGAAACTTTCTTGAGATTTTTGGCTCTGTTCAATAATAAATCGTTTCGATGTTTTTAACTGCTTGTACTCTGATCAGTTATTTTGAAATGGAATACACGAAAGTCTTTTAGTTTTTTTCTCATCAGCTCCCTTCATTTCGCATTGGTTTCCTAACAATTAAACTTCACCGCTATTGTATTTTTAATTAAAGTATCTTTGAGTGTAAAATGTATCCGATATTGAAAACGACACCACAATAAAATGAAAAAAAACAACCAAATTTCAGTTACTTCAATTAAATTTGATCCATACTGATCCTATTCCAAAAGTCTGGCTCACAGAAAAATACAAGCTCATTCATAAACATAATTGCCTGCAATCTTGTTAAAATCAAAACAAATCCTCCGTGTTCGGAGCAAATCTTGCATTCAATCGCTGAGTTCAAACAAGTTCTCGCCATTTGCGAGCAGTGCCACGCGAACGACATCCTTAGTTTTGCTGACGCTTTTTTGTTACCTTGAGTTTTTGTGGCGTCTGGTCCAGAGAATATGACAGAGTGGCCTCTTATCCAGACGAGCCCGACAGGTGTATTGATTTGTAAGCCATGACAGCCCATCCTGTGGCTGAGCTCCTCCTGATTCACATGCGTCCTGCGTACTTGGCTGTTGTTTGGCCTTCCACGTTGTATTCGCGTTTCTGCCTCAACAAAGCTAAAACATGCGTGCCATGCATCGAACGGCCGCCGTTCAGCCGTTCACAGTCGCTTGCGTGTACCTGCACTAACACTGCTGAAATATGCGAGCTAGGCGAACAGCTGCGCTTTCCCCAGCACCTCCCCATCACCCTTTCGCATCCTCCAAAGGGGAAAAGGTACTACGCGTTATATTAATTAATTATAAATTAGCCAATACCAAATTCAATCCAAATTATTAATTTACTGGATTGCGCAAGTGGTTATTCCTATCGAGTGCAATGCTTTCATGGCACAAGCCTCATTTTAGAAACTTCATGGCACTATTACTGTCTTGTTTCTTTTAAACATTTAATTAATATTTCCCATCATTTGAGCAATAATAAAATTCAAATTTGCAATTTTTTAGGGAAGTTCCGAGAAATTTTTAGATTGGTGGATGGATTTAAGCTAAAAAGCTTTATTTTGATGTTTATAGCTTTGTTCTAGTACTGTACAATAATGTGAATATATTGTTCAGGTTAAATACTCGTGTTTGCATTGTCGTGCATTCTCATTACATTGAGTTTAGAAATATTTGAAGTAAAAACTGTGTACTGTGATGACTTCACAAGTTAAATTTTGATTCAAATTCATAACCGTTTAATTTTTGTAATTATCACAACTCACCTTGTATGACCTACCTGACTACCTTTTGTTATCAACCGACTTACATCCTCACCTGAACCCACTACCCACACGTGACAAACCTGTTACTTCTGACCACCTCCAGGCTGGTCAGAATGTGTACAGTTACTGTATCTACTCAAACAGTGCATTCACGGATAGATTATACGAACACGCTTTTAAAAAAATTGGCATGCCTATACAGATTTCGCTCTCACTCTTGACTCACTTGATACGCATTAATGAAGATGTACGTTAATTAGAGATCCAAGTACAATTTTACATTCGTTTTTTGTCTCGTGAACACAAACTTCACATTATCAATATTGAACAAGAGGAACTGCATAGTTTCTTCGCGTGAAGCGGAACACCTGCAACACTTGAACGCTTTCTACTTCAACTTTCATAATCTAAGTCAAGTCTGAAGTGGAAATAGATGGCTATCAATCTCGTTAGCCAACAGTACCTACAGAAAATATATGTGATGCTGGTAATTTTACTTACAGCTTGTATCATGAAAAAAAACATCTGTGAGAAAAAAAAAACGAGAATTATTTGGCAGTTCATAAAAAGATGAATTAAGACAAGAACGAAAAAAAGTTTGCCCGCCACTTCATAAGTCATGTCCCTCTTTACGTCGAGTTTTTTATAACCTTACAAAACCCTCTTATTCCAAACCTTGTAGTACCTAATCTTCAACCAATACCTTTTTCTTCTATTTGTTTCGTCCAAACCTTGCATAAATTCCTTTTAAACGTTTAAAGAATTGAAATTTTTAAAGTGATATCTCTCTTAAACTTAATTTTGAAATTGAATATCCAAAACAATCGCTTAAAGAATTGAAGGTTTCTAGCAACTTTTGTCCCGTTCTACTCAGCGGGACTCGGAGGACTCTCTTCACCTCCCCTACAACAAACGCCACCTGCTCTCTCACTCCTATAGTCACCTCAACACCGACCATCTTTCTGCCACCTCGCACAGGGACTTCCGCTATAACATGACATTCACTTCCCACGAACACTTCCACGCCGCAGACTTACACTTGATGAATCAGTTTACTCACGACGCTCGTTCACACGACCACATCAATGGTTACCGCAGTGGTATAGAGTTGGGCCTCATACACGACCCACATGACGCACACGACCCACACGACCCACACGATGGCTCCATACACGCGGCCGACCACCGTGATCCTACGACGCTGATGGAGGCGAGCCACCTCCACGAGGAAGGGATCCTCCCTAAACGCCATATGTATTCTTCTAAACCAAAGATTTGGTCGTTGGCGGACACGGCGGCCTGCAAGACGCCTCCTCCTCCGCCTCCTGCAGATACGAGCGCCGGCAGCGCCGCCGCCGCGGGGGTGTGGCTGGCGGGGGGCACCACGTTCCCTTTGCCCCCCACCATCCCCCCCACCAACTCCTCCAGCCAGGCACAGTACCCACGCTTTTCCCACCTCATGCCAGGGGCCTTGCCCTCCCAGTACATGGCCAACAGTTACAAGTGAGTCTCGTGGGGAACCAAGTCGACGGCCAATAGTTCCATAATAGCTAGGAGGGATTTGCCTGGGGAAGTGCTAAGCTGACCAGTGGTTACTAGTGAGTGGTGACGCAGAATGGTTCATAATAACATCGATTACATATTCATAAGCAATCAATACATCATAAGGAAAGCCAAACTGTAAATGGAAGCAGGGAGCGACAGTCTGCCGTTAGTGGCGCCACTCGTCTTGAGGTTGCGAGTTATGTTAAGGATCTGCTGAAATTAGCTTCTCTAATTCCGCAAAGTTTGAAATGCCAAAATATTTGAAATTTATACTTAAATCGCGTAGTTTGCTCTTTCGTGATTTAAAATTAATGTCTCTTATATTGTTAAGTGAAAAATATTATAAATCATTTAAAGATAATGAATTAATTTGCAAAACTTGTTTTGCGCTGCAACAGTGAAGGCGTCGGAACAGACACGCCACCACAGACGCCACCAAACGCGAAGGGCGCGAACGGTCAAAACGGCGGCGTGCAAACAGGTCTTATGGGCGGCGCAGGGGCGTTTATGGGCGCGGGTTCGGTGGCCAACTCTGGGTACGGCCTCGGCGTGCCGCTATCGTCGTGTTCCCGCAGCTCTGCCGGTATACCCATGCCCTCGAGTGACGTGAATATGAACCCTGCAGGGCAGAGATATTCAAGTATCGGTAATGGCGTCGCAGCGAACACTGCACTCAGTAATAACAACCCAGCCAGTATGGTGCCCACCGCTTTTACTCCTGTGTACAAATCGTGAGTAAAATGGGTAGCATAAGAGAACTTACTATATGCATTAGTTCAAATATATTTTATTCCCAAATCACATGACGCTCATGCCAGGAAACCAATGATAAACATGTGTATAATAACTCATTTTGAATATTTCATGCGTCCATTAAAAGAGGGAGTGCAGGATAGAAATCAATCCAGCCAGAAGTTCGTTATTATGCTTCAAATATGCGCATCGCTCTGCGTCCCTGCAGGTCAGGTCCACAGCAGCAGGTCGTGCAGGGCCAGCAGTCAAGTCAACAAGTCAATTCAAGTCAACCACCGCATCCTCAGCCCCAACAGAATCAACAAGTTTCCTCACAAACCAACGCGCTCAACAGTCCTCCTTCCGTCGGCGCACTCATTCCGTCCGCTTATGTATCTTGAAATTACGCATCGCACACGTGAGTTTATTTCAAATCTATATTTTAAATAATTAACTTATAGTAACTCATTTTCCCAATTTTGCGTCTCCAGCATTTGCGTAGTTCCCACATTTAGCGTAAATTAAGGTGTGAAAAACGTAAGTTATGCTGAAATCATCACATTCGGTATTCAAAACGTAAGTGCCGTCTACCCAAGTCACAATGAACTGACGCAGAAAATGACGTAGCATTTGTTTTGTCTTACGTCAGGTTCTGCGACGACGAGACGCTGGCAGTTGACGGCTGTCGTCGTATAGACGAGGCACAGTATCAGCAAGAAGGACAGGAAGACGATGACGATGAAGAAGATGACGAGGAAGATTATGATTCCGAGTCAATTTGCTGATTTTTTCGAAACAAATCTTGAGTATAAATAATGCCATTAAAGCCTCACAAGGTGAGGCGGAGGCAGATGAAGATGCAAGACAGACGCAACATGATTATCGTGAGCTATCATGAATTCATGATAATGAAGAAAAAACTTCTGAAAATGAACTAATGCACGTTGGTCTAATGCTGGACGTAATCTCACCGCGAACTATTCATAAGTATAAGGGGCGAGAAAATATATTTTGAACTGTCAATTCGGAACCAATTAAAAAAATAATGGATTTCTAATTTATAAATTCTGTCCCGTGCACAATTTCTCCGAATTTCCATGCAGATGATAAACTCGTACTAGGAACACAGGATATTTCCTAGGAAGATATCCTGCCTATAGCTTCACCACGAGACTACGACCAATGATCCTGGTAATTCGAATATCACGCAGAAAAATGAATGGTTCACGTTTTCCAAATATATATAGTGACGCATTTTCTTAACCGTGGTTCAGACAATTCGAAGTTGAAAATTCTCCTTTTCCAAGGTTACAGGAAAATTAAATATGGATATGAGTGAAATTTAATGGAAGTGAACAATCAAGCGGTAGAAGTGAACTTGATAATTGATAGGTCAAGCAATTGATTCTCACAAATGTCGGGTAAAGTATGCTGTATTCAGAGCTGATATTACAGTGACTGACTCACAGATTCTATAATGACAACACGAATAGAAGATTAAATTTTAATAAATGGCCATGCAGTCGAGACACGGTGCTATCCAGCGTTGGTCTGCAGTCTGTTCAATTTTCTGTTCAATTCTAAATTCAAATTAGTTTGAACCACAAGTGAGTTTTCGAGGAAATATTGCACGTGAAGTCATTCAGCACCAAACGTCGCCGGCCTGTATACTGAATTATTAAGGCGAGAATACAACAGTTAAAATCAACTTATCAACACGATTGATTGGCACTCTTTGGTGATATGCAATCTCACAATTGACTGAAACGCTGGAATGGCACTGAAAGCAGCAATCTGGTCCAGAAGATCAATGCAAGTTGGTGGACTTGAGAAAGAAACCCAGGAAACTCGTTCTTTTGCGAGTCAAATGAGCGATGTTCAAGAGTTTTCCTTTTCCGAAGTCGACATGAAGTTTATTTTAATATACCCACATATATTGAATAAAGGCTTATTGAGACAATCACCCAATATGTCATACAGTTTCTCGTGTGCAATGACCTATTGTTGAAATTACTCAACTAAAATGAATGAATGAACATCCTATGAAAAACAAATGAATCCTGCTTGAAGAATATTTTAGTGCCCGCTCAAAACGTTGTAAGAAATGTATTTATTAATAACGGGATTTAAAGTTGAACTTTCACTGCTCAATAACCGCAATTTTGAGCCTTGCAGCTTCGGTCCCTCCCGTCAACTGTACGAGGAACTAACTATATTCATGCAAATTCAATTTAATCGCTATATCTGCGTTGCGATATCAGGATCTGTAAATAAAACTGTAATAAATAGCTCTCGCCTTCCCATTATTTACGTCGGTCAAGCGAGAAATGCGTCGCCGAACAGTCGCACGGCATGAAGCAGCAAAGCAGAATTTCTTGAGCCAAATAAAGAGAAATTTCTTGATCTGCAAATTTTTTATATGTAGAACAGAATTCCTATCCTTATTTTCACGGGATCTTCCCCTTCCCATATTTTCAATAACCTATGTGAATATTGCGTCTGTTGCTAGGTTTCTTAATTAATTAGTGAGCGCATCCTTGAAGGATTGGTAGACGTGTAAGATGTTGTACATAGAATCTTTATTGATAGTTGCTGCCTAATTCCTAAGTTTAATATTTGTTACTTTCTTGAAAAAGTGAGGAGGACATTGATGATAAAAAATATTATGATAGGTTATGATTCCACCAACGTTTTAGTTTGTTGGTCGCATAAATTTAATGTCATTAAATTGGTTATACTGTTGAAATGCCTTTGAATTTGTGAGATAAAAATTCACTAAGGCTTAAATATATTCCGTTAATGCGTTTCAGTAATTCGTATATTGCAGCTCGCACCGACGATTATTTCATGTGTTGAAAAACACATGAAATAACGGAAAGTTAAATAGTGCAAACTAAATATTTCATTGCTGTCTCCTTTCCAGCAAATGTATTAGAGTCATGGTCATGATTTGAATTTATAAACCAGAAATGCTTTGATCGATTTAAAAATAATACGAACGGATTAAGTTAATAAACCCGTCATTGAACGTACTTCATTAGACTTGTTAGCGCCATGCTAAAAGCATAACAATTTGAAGCATCTATTGCGCAGGAAATTTTGCAGGAAATTTTAGTTATTCTGTTAACTGGCACATCACGTGTGTTCTGAGGAACAGTTTTGTGATGGTGTCAGTAGGCGAAGTTGAAAATCTGCAATTTCTACTCTAATAATTTTTTGGGTAATTATTTGCGACTCTGCCTCAATATATCGTTCTTAATTTCGATGTGCCGACAAGTAGGCTTCGACTGTCCCGCCTGAGATTAAACGAGGGACAATAATAATTAAGTCGTCCTATATTTGTGTGCCAAATAAAGCAAGTATAAAAAAATACGACGATGGTCATTGATATTTTTTTATATTATTCAGGCGCACGCTTCTCAACAATCTAGTGTCGGAACTACCATGCTAAGTTACATGTTATTTCATTCTTCGCGTCAGTTCTCAATTTCATTTGATGACTTCAGACAAATAAAGAAGACAAATTATTTTTCAGTTACATTTTTTCGATTTTGGACATTTTCAGACAAAATTTCATCGCCAAAATTGGGAAGCATTATTTTCAATACCAGTAGTTCAGGAACAAACAATAATTCTCAATGGAGACCATGTGGCCTGATTTCTATATTTTATTGTAGGGCAACTTATTGTGCAATGAATAATACGTTATATGGATGTTGTACAGAGATGAGAAATGTTAATTAACTGTATAATTTGTAAGGCTCGTTTGTGAAGAACCTCCTGTTCCGACTAACATTAATGCGTTAAGTGATTAATGGTGACGAGAGTGACGATCCTATGGCGCATATAAGGCGCCGGCGGAGCTTCACATTACTTGTAAATTTCTATTATGATGAAAATATATATGAATTCTTAATGAGTATTTTTTACCCAAATCAATGTATTACATGATGTGCTCTTTATTTTTTGACGAAGGCTCGACTCACTTGTAATAATTACTTGAAAATTTAGTCATGTTTTACGATCACGCAGAGGATATTCAAAAAGTTTTTAGAATGATCTAGCCATGTAACTTTGAATATTTAATGACGCAAGCATTAAAGCAGATGAAGATCACAGGCATGCTTTTACTGCACAATTTCAACATTTAACATACAGAAGTTCACGAATTTTTTCAATGATGACGAAAACTGAAGAGCAGTGCAACTTACAAATGAGATGATAATACTCATCTTAATAAGGTTTTTGACCAAATTAGGTTTCCTTATACGGAGCTTATATAAATATTCGGCATGATAAAAAGTACAATGCTATTCATGGAAAATATGCAGTTTTTAATTTATATTGAATTATATTAAACCTAACCTATTAGATAGATATTAAATTATATTAAACCTAAATTATATTAAACCTAACCTATTAGATTAAATTATATTAACCTAACTATTAGATAGGTAACCTAGATAAACATGAGTTACACCCCCGGAAAAGACATGGAGCGCAGCAGGCTAGCCCTGGCAAGCAGCGTCGTTGCAGAGGCTGCGGCGCTATACGCAGGCAGTGTGCAATATACTGCAATAGATGACGGCGAGAATGGGTTCTATGCAAATGGCTGCAGCAGATGCGACAGACACTACAATTGTCTCCGCTACAATTGCCTCCGCTCATACGAACCTTTAATACAATTGCCAGTGAATACATTAAGACGCGGTAAAGGGTTGGTCGGCGTAGGATGTCAAATGAAATATGTTACGTCATGATGCAGTGCTAATGCAAATGAAAAATGTTTTTTGATTGAGCTGTCAAATAATGCTGCTAGCACTTGAAGGCAAAAAATGTATTGAAAGGCAAACGCAAACTTTGTGCTGAAAGCCATGATCATGACTGCATTAAAATAAGTTATTTTCTTCTAACGTAGAACAAGTGTAAAATTTATTCGTTCACGAAGGGTTTTGAAAACGTGAGTTTCCTTGAACTTCTTATTAAAATCAGTTCTTGTAAAATAAACATACAATGATAAAAATGCTCTCTTATAAAATAGTATTGCACAGAGCATAAATAATATACGTGAAATACTTAATTTCGAACAAAACACATTAAGAACAAGAAACGAGTGCAAATATTCAACGAGATTCCTAACTAAACACGTACCAAATATTTCCTTCACTATGCAAGTCGAGAGCCAGAATCGAGCTAAATCAAACGCGTAGATTAAAATCGACTGTCGCCAAGTTGCGTACGACAAATGCGCATCAAGCGGAAATTTATTAAAAAATGTACTTGTCAGAACTAAAAATTCTACAGCAAGAAGGCGTAATTCTTGAGCATTTTTCTAGACGTATATCGGGAAAAATTGTTGGATTGCTGAAATCAGAGCTTATGCATTCGCGAAAAGCTTAATTAGGTTGAATCTGCACAATGATTAAAAAAAACGTTGAATCATTTGACTGCACAATGAGACTCAAGTCTTTTTATTGTTCGTCTTTAAAAATCTAACGTGCCTGGACCAACTGTTAATAAATTGCTACTATAATAATGCATGAATTTAGTAAATGATGGAATGAAAAAAGTGTAATTAGATTCAATTAGTTCACAAAAAGATTGAATTACAGTTGAAATGAACTTATTAGAAGCAAACTTTAAATCAATAATTATTTGCTCAGTACCACAATGGTAATACATTTGATCGGAACTTTTCATAGTGACAAAATAAAGCCGTGCAGTGTAAGGGAAACCGGGAATTGAATTAATTATGTTAACAAAATGTGATATTGCATGAGTCGCGGCAAGGGCAGGTAACAAAGCCACGGTAGAAATAGCATTGCAACGAAGTGTTATTTTTTGGACGCTGTCACCGAGTGATCAGGTTTCGTTGGTGGACATAAACTCTATTGTGATCTGTCCCATTACTGACCATTAGGCTTTCTCATGTCAATGACGAGGGTGGCATCCACGGCGCTCGGCATAATCGAGCCTGACAAACGTGGACATCCTTCACAAAAAGCTCACCCGTCTTGCAGCTCTTCGCGTTCACTGTTCTCTTGGTGTTGAAAAAAGTCTTTGTCGCCGCCCCTTCTCGCCAAGAACTAACTATTGTGGTGCTGTTGCTCTGCGCGTCATCTGACACCGTGCGGGGAGAGTGCGAATCACGGTCGGGTTAAGGGTGGCCACGCAATTGCTGATGGTCGTGTATAGACAACCATTCAATGGCCAATGGTCTGCAATAGCTTGGACACCGTTCAGATACTGATGATCAGTAGATATTTAGAAGCAAAGAAAATTTAAGATAAATTCATACTATCTTTAGGTAAAACGTCAGCTATAGGCGCTGATGGTCAGATATAGGTTTCCGCTCAATGACCGATAGATTGCTATTTAGATGTGACCACTCAATAACCGATGGTAAGCTATAGGTAAATTCTATGGNACTCAATGAACGATGGTCAGATATAGGCTTCCACTCAATGAACGATGGTCAGATATAGGCTTCCACTCAATGAACGATGGTCAATTATAGGCTTCCACTCAATGAAAGATGGATTGCAATTCAGCTGCGACCACTCAATAACCGATATTCAGCTATAGGAGACGACTATTCAATGACCGATGGTCAGCTATAGCTGTGTCCACTCAATGATCTATGGTGAGCTGATGGTTAGCTGCCAAGGAGCCGAATAACTCACAATTAGAATATTAAACCATTTATACCTAGCTAGTAGAGAAAGCTTCTATTATTAATCCTCTAGGAAATAAAAAAAATATATTAAATAAACTCAATTTAATACATGCGAAGAGTTGCTAATTTTCATGGCGCTCATGTAATAAAAGAATCAATGTAGATTTAGTCATTGGGCAGGAAATTTAACTCACAGCCCTCCCATGATCGCTCATAAATTGAACTTCTGATCCAACTGATTCCAGCTTCAAAGTTAGTTTCTGAACTTACTTTCAATCGTTTATGTTAGGCTTGATGTTAGACTTAAGATCATTATATTTATAATATTTAAGACAACTTTGTTTCTGGTAGAAGTTTGTGTTTAAAGTGAAGAGCTAACTGTCAAGACATGTGTTCCCTCTAACCTAGGTTTCTAACAATACATACGGTTTGGTGCTTTAATTAAGTTCCTTACTCGTTAGTTTCTAACTATATAACCGATGTAGTGCTTCAATTAACACCACTAACTTTCTATCTATATAACCGGTTAAGTGCTTCAGTTAGCATCATAAAATAAGTTTCTAACTATACACACGGTAAAATGCTTCAATTAACATCATAAAGCATCTAGCTATACAAACGGTAAATGCTTCAATTAACATCATAAAGTTTCTCACTATACATACGGTAACGTGCTTCAATTAACATCATAAAGTGTCTAACTATACCAACGGTCTAGTGTTTAAAAGTAGGATCACTCGACAAGAGTGCGAAGGATGTCCACGGTTTCTGTGTCAAGATTGACATAGGTGAAAATATTCATACACTCGCAGGTTGTGATTACCAAAAATAGGTTTTCACAAAACTAAGTTCCCGATGAGCTGTAATATCAACGTACAAGAAAACCCAAAGGACGGTTCTATTCTCAGCCTGAGGACTTCTGGAGAGCAGCAGAATTTCGTAACACTTCAGTGGTTCTTTTGAAGGCAAATTCTTCTTCTCGCCCATGAGCTGTTGAACGCCCTCAATTATCCCATCTCCTACGGGGAATTAAGCTTGTGTTGAATGAAGATTGGGCGCCTGTTAACCAAGAATTAAGATCCTATTGCAATAATCTTGCCTGCAAACTTGTGTTCTTCAAGGAGCTGCGCGACCTGAGCTTCGTCTTAACCAAACTGGCCTCGATGGTCGTCTCTTTTTTCCCTGTGTTCAGGCATCTTTGAGTTCCACATGAACATGGTTTGACCATTGCTTAAATATGTGTAACAAGAGAAGGATGATTTTATAAATTAGATATCAGCTTAGGTTTTCATTAAATTGCGATTGGTTCGAAAAAAATGTCATGAAATTCGAAATAATTAAGGACGATTGTATCCAATTTCGTAAACAGGAGCTAATATTTGGATATCCGCTTGGTAATATCAAATCTATGAGAATAAAATCCGGACATCCCAATATGGTTCCTGTAATTCGGATACTAAACCATTCGCTTTCTTAGTCTGCTGCAGTCATCTATACGAGTAAATAGAAGGGAGAAATAAACAATGAAAGTGGCTCGTGAATGGAAATCCAGTTCCATTCGGATACTGGTTGATTTATAAATTTGTCATACAATTCATTATTGTCCATTTATTCTATGCAATTGTCTTTAATCGTAATGACGAACAAAATTACTAATTGGAGCGCACATGCTATGCTTCTCACCTGACAGTAACTTTGAACAATATATTAACAATTGATTACTTTCATTATAAGTCGCTCGATGTACAATTTTTTTGGCCCGATTTTCGGGCGAATGAAATTCCGGTTATTTAAAAAATTTTCGGGCGAATGAGATTCCGGTTATTTAACAAATTGTAAATAAACTTGAATTAAGCACCAAAAGTGACGACTTATTCCAACGGTCTATCGGTTGCAAAAAGTTCGCATGAAAATCGACACCTCATGAGAGGCGGAGGGACCGTTTTGCAGGGCAGCGCTGCCTGGTGAAGTGACACCTGCGTTACAAAGCCTGCGTGTACCGGAGCGTTATAATCCTTGCTAACAGAGCAGCCTAGCGCTAAATTAGTAAACTGATCTTACGTTAGAGCAGGCGCTTCTTGCCACGCATACAACATGTTGTTGTCGCCTCGAGACAGTAGTCTTCCAAAACAACTTCTGGGCAAAACAACTTCTCCTTTATAATTGGATAATAAAAATATCTTCTTTGAATGAAGGTGAATGCCTAATTTATTGAATAATTCCACATGAAAGAACTTTGA